GGGGGGGTGAAGGGTTTAATGTTACGTTGGACATTTAACCCTTCGGTCACAATTTCGAAATACTTTAAATAAAACCATAGGCAATGTTAAATTCTAAAAGAAAAATAAAACAACAAATGTTTGTATTTGACAGACTGTTTAATGTTCTCACCTGGGGGTGGCTCTCATGGCCTACAGGTTAAGGTGTTAGCCTTTCATTCAATAGGTCCCGGGTTCGAATCCAGACAGTGACGGAATTCTTTTTTCTCTAAATTGTCTCCTTTCATCTGCTTTCCTACTCTCCAGCAATGTTATGTGGTCTGCTTTGGTCCCGACTTTCTGCCCCCACCCCCTCACCTCCTTTGCTCCCTCCTCTGAGCTCCTGACTCTTTCTATAGCCTTACTACTGCTACTCCCTAGCTCCTTCTTACTGCTGTCTTTCAGCCCCACCCCTGATCTTCTGGTAGGAAAGATCTACACCTAGTAGGTGCAAGATTTGAACGTTAAAGATCCCTTGGTGGTCCAAAATCAATAAGAGTAGGCTTAGGCCGCCACCCGGGCAAAATTCAGAATTCCCTACCAACTGAAAATGTTTAATGTGTCCCGCACGCTCATATGACCTTATGCAGTTGTGAGCGCCGTAAAACACTTACCAAAAAAAAAAAACCGTTCTCACCTGACGTTGTATGTTCTCAAGGCCGTGACGGGTGGTGGTGAGTTATAACACGATGGAGGTAAACGAGACGCCCGGACGTAATTACTGCCCAAACGTTGTCCTTGCAATGTGGCTACAGTAGTAGTGGTTGTCTGTGTGGTGGTGCTGGGCGTGGTGGTGGTCGTGGTGGTGGTGGTCGTCGTCGTAGTGGTGGTTGTGGTTGTGGTTGGCGCCCCGCCTCCACCGCCTGCCAGAGCAGCTTAAAGGGGGAGGGGAGACGAACAAAACACTTTTTTCTTTGTTTCTTTGTAGTTGTTTTGTTGTTGTTGTTGTTAGTTTTTCGTTGTTGTTGTTTTTGTTGGTGGTGGTGCTGGTGGTGTTGGTGGTGGTGGTAGTGGTTGGTTTATTTTGGTCTTTTAAGGGGGATGTTTGTTTGTTGTTGTTTTTTTTGTTTTTTTTTGGGGTGGGTTGTTTTGGTTTGTTTGTTTTAGGGGGATAGGAAAGGTGAAAAAAAAAGATTTTAACTCGCTACTTACCTGCCTGCAACATGGGCAGTATGGCCCCCGAGTGAGAGATTTGGTAATACGATTTGTTTCGGACACGGTGTCTTCCTCGGGTTAAAATTGTTGCCTCCTTAATCTTTCTTTGATTTGAGGGAAGAAATGAAAATCGTTTGGAATAACGCAAAAGGGCAGTTGTTGTTGTTGTTGTTGTTGTTGTTGTTGTTGTTGTTGTTGTTGTTGTTGTTGCTGTTGTTGTTGTTTTAGAAGAATCATAACAGGTGATGAAACATGTGTGTATTCGTGGGATCCAGAACTAATCCAGAACTGAAAAGACCATCAGGCGAGGTGAAACACATGGTCAACACGGCCCCAGAAAGCTGGATGCCAGCAAGGTGCTTTGAATGTGTGCACGTCATGTTTTCAACGACTTCGATTCCTGCCGGCACAAACGTCAATGCCAATTTTTACAAGATAGGCTCTTCTGACAAAGCTGTCTTCCATCATGACAACGCGAAGCTGCACACTGCTCGAAAGGTCACCGACTCCTGAAATTTGGCAGCGGGAAATCCTCTTGAACATCCCCGCTGTTCCTCAGACTTGACACCAAGCAAAATTCATTTCTCCCCCAAAATCAAAGGACTATGAAGGCAGCAATTTGAAGACGGGAAAGACATTGTGCTCGAAACAAAAGGACTCTGGTAGAAGCGGACATGGTGAATGCCTTTGACCGCTACGTACATCAGATGAAAAAGTGCATTGAGATCTACGGTTGTTATGGTGAACAGAAACCGTGTTCTGTGGGTGTGTACAAAATGTCATGGCGTTAACATGAAAATTGTTGATTTTACATATCAGGGAAACATACTTCTGGAGTAGACCTCGTAGCAGTATCTATTTTTTATTTCTTTTTGGGGTTTTTTTAAAGGTGGGGACACTTTGGTAGCTAGTGATTAAAGAGCTAAGATCCAAGCAATAATAGCTCCTCCACAGTTGCTTACAAATACCCCAACATACCTGCCACTGTACTGTCCTCCTACTTAGGTCCTCTCGACATTTGTCTTGGCCCTATAGAATAGGCTAACACTAACAATGTCATCTTAGCAGAGACTGTGCCCACCATTTCGGAACTTCACGGTGACCGTAAAGGTGGTTCCAGTAGGGAACGGGATAGAGGGTGCCCACGTGCCTCGTGACTCATTGGAGCAGAAGGAGATAGGATTAACGCTAACTTTACTTAAACGCAATCCTACGCCATCACTCATCACCACCGTTCTTTCTAAAATCATCATAGCTCTCAGATCAATGACTTGCATCTATAGTCCTTGTATCTCTATCTGTAACAGTTACTTGTCATACCAAGTATGCACGTAATACACAATTGGACATTATCATACGCACTTTTTTCTAATAATCAGATGGCATCAATCTCATAGAAATGGGCAAGGAATAAAAAAGCTCCGTAGTTGAAAGTTGGGGCTGGAAAGCAGATATTTGCGCCTGTTCTTCTGTGGGTGCCGATTCTCTCTTTTCGTAGTAGATGGATACCGAGAGATGTAATTTTTGGTGAGCATTGGATATCTCTTCCGTTCGCCAAGAATCAACTGTTTTATTTGTGTGGGGGTTGAGGGGAGGGGTTGTTTGTTTGCTTGTGTGTTTGTTTGTTTGTTTGTTTGTTTGTTTGTTTGTTTGTTTGTTTGTGTTGGAGTATGGGTGGGGGGGGAGGGGGCTTCTAAAGTCAGGTCAATTAAATGTTATTAAATAATCATAGGTAACATTCTTCGTACTTTTTGCCTACTGCCAAGTAAATTTTGTTGTCTAATCCTCAAGTCCACGTGAAAAAAAATGAATTCATTTTGTATCCACGAATATCATCATCATCATCATCATCATCATCATCATCATCATCATCATCATCATCATTGGAGTTTCCCCATTGGTTGTGGCTGTCTTCGGTGAGAGCGGTACTCCCTATCGTGAAGGGGACGGCTTTCCACTTCGAGTGTGAAAAGCAAGATGGATTATTATGCTGCACAAGCGTGGCAGCCTTGGCTGAGTGAGACCAGTGCAAAGGCCCTGGACAGAATACAAAAAAGCCCTCCACCTTGTATCAGGTCAGCTGGAAACAACACCAACAGAAGCTCTGCGTTTTGAGACCAGAACTGAGCACTACACCACCTATACAAAAAGAACATGCTTCAAGTCTGTAGAGATGGCTAAGCGATTTTCAAACAGCCTTCCTAGAAATAAAGCCTTTGATCAAACAGTCAAGCCTAAAAACAGCAGGAAATGTTGGTTTCGGACGTGCACCTGGCAGACCACCTCTCCCCTGAAGCAGAGAATCGATGGCCAATCAATCTGGTGAGAGCGTGTCCATGGGAGACCGATGGGGAAATCGAAATCCAGACAGAATTGAGAGGGGTAAAGAGCAAAGGTGATGATCCTGTAAAGGCACGTGAAGCTGCAGAGGATGTAATCAAGGAGGTTGGTGCCCAAGTGACAATTTTCTCTGATGGATCGCCGGCCCTCGCAAGATACCACAAAGGTAGAGCAGCAGCAGTGGTGATAATGAATGATGAGCAACCACGAACAGAAATCATTTAAATTAAAACTAAAGGTGCATTCCTTACATCCAGGGGCGGTTTGTTAACTGGGCAAGACCCAAATTTTTGTCAGCTCTACTGTTGACAAGAGATTTATTGCTGATGATGATTTTCATTCAGTTTTAAGTACATCCAAACAAACATGTATTAACATTCAAAAGCGCCTTGCCGATTTGAAGGCGTTCAAATAGAGAAGTGGGATTCACGGCTGTTTTGTCGCGGCAGAGCCTCATTCCTTCACGTTTGTTATCACGCCGGCTCGTAACTTTAAATGGTCTCCCGTCAAGCCGTCACGTCGCGGAACTTCGTTCGTACTACGTACGAGGCCAAACCAAACACGACAGGCTTAGGCCTAGCGATGACGTCCCATGGACAAATTCGTCGACTGCCCTCAGAACGAATAGAACATCCCTTTATTGCCAAATTGGCCTCTTTGTAGCTTCTAAAATTAAGATTGAGACTGTCTTGAGCAGCACAGACACATGTATTATTTTATCAGCAAAACATGTATTTATCATTCAGCCTTTCTCTAACTACTATCAGAACTTTTATTGTCAGCATGGCACTAATCTTTTTTGTTTATTGACTTTTTAACCACCTATAGTTCCTGTTTGGCATTTACTCATCGTTTTCTCCCCATTAATAACTTACCTGGCCCATAGGAGTCTGGCCGGCGAAGGGGGAAATTGTCTAGTGAAGATATATTGAGGAGAATTTTAACGAGGAGAGGGCGATAGGCTCTCAGCTGTCAGAGTCTGGGCCGAAAACAATAGGCCTACCCCCTCCCTTCCCTCCCCTTTTCCACCGTCACCCAGTTAGACACCAAGTTCTATAATTAGCTTTTGACACACTTCCCCATTTTGTTACAACACAATGTTCAGTTCTGAGAACTGAGAAGTGCGATGAAGAAAATTGATGATATAATGATCGGAAACTGTTGTGTGCTAACTTTGTCCAGCTTTGTGCGTAGTCTAAACAGCCGTATGCACTGCTCACCGTCGAAC